ATGAAGTCTCCAGCCCAAATCATTTCTTGCAAACACCAAATGCTGCTTCTCTGTTAGTGCCGTTCCCCAAGTTTAAAACCGGTTGGGGAGGGCTGCTTCAAATTCCGATGAATCCAGAGACCAGATTGACCCTCTCAGCTGGGATTCCTAACATTGGCTGCCATTCAATGCATGGCTCATCTGACTTCCTTCCATGTGATGTTCTGTATTCAAAAGCAGTTCCACATACTGTGTATCTTTGGGAATTAGCCATTAAAGTAAAGATCTCATAAATACACTTAACAGGCTGTCCCTTAGGCCATATGTGAGCCTGAAATTGGTGCTTGCAAAAACAATTCCAATGGGTTCACTGGAATGTCATCTACATATGCATTGAATTTTTGCTCCTAAAGCAAGAATTACATATGTGCTATCACAGATAAGCATCCTGAACTTATTGATCATCCATTCTAAACCCTAGTAATCAACATATATGGAACTCTGTGCTCCTTTTCAAGCAGCTCCCGAACTATCTTGTCCTTCTCAACAACAGCAATTTGTTGTATTCAGAAAGTAAATCACCATTCTTCCTCTTTCTCTCCCACTTTGAAACTGATGGTGACACCAGTCTAAAATGTAGGGCTCTGAAGGGACGCAGAGAAAGGGATGTTCCTATGTGTAAGTGGAAATGTAAGGCCCTGATGTTGGTTGCCACCCATCATTCTTACTGCTTTCAATAGTCTTCAGTTCCCAAAGTGTGCACATGTGTGTGTGGAAATAATAGTTTGCTTGCTCAAAATCAGATTGAGCATTTGGGTTTTTGGTTCTCCATAGAGAAGTTAAAATACAGAGTGGCTTTGGATAGATCTGTCAGTGTGACTTCATTTTTTTCTTCACAAAATAAAATCTGAGCTATATATTTATGCAGGCAGGTCATCTTGTTTTAAATCACTAATTTTAACATTTTAAAATTTAGCAGCTGCTTATTGTGCCATCAAACTCTATTTGGGATGGCTGCTGCTACTTATTCCCATTTTTTTTTCAAATAATGCACATTTTTTCCCTACCCCTAGTTAGCATTATACATCAAAGACTAACATGAACTCTATTTTCAACTCCTCTGTGCAAAGACTACAAAATTCTCATTTGCTTTCAGCCCTTTTTGAATCTCAGAAAAAAAGAAAAACCAGACAAAGAGCTATCAAATCAAGAAGTCAAAAGGTTACACTTTCTTATTGGTGTGGGAAAAGACAGAGCATCTTTGCTGACCAAAAATGTTGTGAAACATAATAAAATGTAATGAAATGAAAAAAAAAAAATTCTGATCTCTAATGGTTTGAAAAGCATACTGGCCTTTGGTTTCACAGGGTGTAGCTGTTTCCTATATGCAAATTCTGCTAGAGAAGTACTAACGTTAAAGGCCACTGCTCCATGGGAAAATTAAAAATATGCATGGCTTCTATCTGTACCACCCAGGTTTGACATTGTGGCTTTCAAACTTCCTGCTTATATTTTAGTCTGCAAAAAATGCCTATGGAAACCTCATGTTACAGAGGATTAGGTAATATTTAATGGCACTTCTCCCCTTTCTTTCTTTCCACAAATAAAACTGACCAGTGCATAAGTAGAAAAGAGGCTTTCCTGGGTAATTGTCATTGGAATAGGATATCATCCTGCATAACTTGGGGAGAACGTCCTGATTCTGAGACCTGCAAGGGAAAAATAGTAATTGCAAACTGTTCTTTGTTGCACTTGTTCAGGCTTCGTGATTTTCCTATCAAGGAAGCAGACATCTCAAAGCTATCCGTTTTTGCAAAGCATCTCCACCTATAAACCCAGAGTCATTGGTGGTTTTTGTGACACTGTGTAGTCCTGTTCTTCCTTTCCCTTCCCACATCACTACTGATCCTGCAAGACTTAAGATGGAGCTCTTTATCAGAGATGGGAGGCTTCCTGAACTAGTTGTTACTCTGATCACAAGGAATGCAAATGGCACATATGTTCTGTTGCTATTATGTCTTATTTGTCAGCTTTTCCCCCTTCTTCCTTTCCACAGACACAATGAACCGACGCATAGATAAATGAGACCCCCCTGTGGGTAGCCGATGCGCTTAGAGAAACCACAGTGTCTATAACCAGAAAAAGAAAAAGGGAAAAAAACCCCATCCTTAATTCTTGCTTGGTTTGCTTTTCCCCTAGCATGAGTAAGCAATGACTCATAAGTCATAGAACGAGATACATTTTACAAAATCAAATGTAAGAGATGGACGAAGGCCTACTTATTTGGAATGTATTTTAATACAAAGGCAAAGATTGGGAAAGCAAGCATAGTCATCAAAACATGCAGTGCAGTTTCATGCATTTATTAGACATCTTGGTATTGTAATTCCTCCAGCAGGGATTCCCAATTCTGCACCAACCCTTGGCTTAACCTATCTGTTTTCCACCATTCCATTTGGGGGAAAAAATGAAAACCTCACATAAAACCAGTACTGTTTTTATTGTTTTTGTTGCCCCATCGAGGGAAAAGAAATAATTCCTCCTCTCAAAAAAAAAAAAAGTTTCTACAGATAAATGTACTGCTGTAGTGGTACTGGTTAATTTAAAAAAAGAGAGATAAAAACCAGAGTTAAAGAGCATGTCTATCTTTCCCTCTTCTACGCCCAGACAACTTTTTCAAAATTTTGCATTTTGAGAAAGGAGATGATGAAAGACATAATGATTCTAAACACATCTGCGATCTAAGATAAAGCAAAACCAGGCATGTAGGTCAGATGCTTGGACCTTGACATTTAGAATGGGTACTTTTCAAACTTTTGATTATTAAAATAGATAAAAATGTTAGCTGTAACTGAAAACCCTTTGACCAATGGAAAAATCAGTGAAATTTCTTTCCAGATAGAAAGAAAATGGAATAGCAATTCTCATTTGCTGCATGGTTTTATCATTCCTACCAAATTAAAAGGACTTTATGTATTATAACATTACAAGAAAACAACATGGACAGGCTTTGTATTGTAAAGCCTTGGGATAAAGGGAAAAGGAGACAGGGAAGGGAATAAGGAAGAGAGAAGCACTGTTAGGAGTTAATTTCTGGCTGTAGGAGGTGGGATCTAGCCAAAATTAAACATTCTTCAGTTCTACTGATTTTAATGGGAAGGACGTAAGCATGTCCACGTTTTTCTCACTGGCCTGACTGGTTGGTTTATTCCATGCTATTGGCTCATGTTTTTGCATCATGTAGAGGATTTTATTAAGTAGTCTTTTGAATCAGACAGGCAAATCTGCAAGGGAAGGGGGAATTTCCCGAGTTTCTTCATGTGTGTGGCACTACCATTAAAGCCACATATGCTGATCTGAACATTCAGGGGAAAAAGGATGTCCTGGAAGCTAACCTAGCAATCCATTTTCAGAAGAGAGTTCTGTGCCAGTTCCTTCACCCATGACTGAGAATGCACAGCACAGCAGCAGATGCTTTCATCCGTTTCGGTGTCAGCTCTAAATCTACAGCAAGTGATTTTGAAGTATTATGGACTCCAGTATCACTGTCTCTCTTGCTAAAGTAGTATTTTCCTCCTTATTTTGAACCTGTGCAGTGATAGCCTCAAGGTACAGAAAATCAGGGTCTGGAAGAAGAGCATCTCAAAAGGAGGGACAGGAAAAAGCAAATTTCATGTCAGAATTATTTTTTTCTGGCTCAAGGATGGGTGGAGAGAACACAAACTGGTGCTTGGGAGTTTTATTCTTCATATGGATCCATTTTATGTAAATCAAGACATCATAAAGCAGATTTTCTCCCTCTCGTTTTAAATCCCAGCCCTGCTCTTTGGCAGAATGCTGTACAGAAGGGTTCCAGCAAAATCCACCATTTCCCCAAATGCTGCATGCTGCCAGTCTGTTTTCAGATTTACAGAGCAATATATTTGAGTCTTAAGTAAACCACAATGGAAAAATCAGATGTGCTTTTGTGCATCGCAGGAAACTGCTGGGAAGATCACATTTCAGTGCAAGGTGGATTATATTATTATGGTTGCCAAATATTTCTAGAAGAAAAAGACTCAGTAATCAGTCCACAGCTTACTGTAAATCGCTGACTGGTCAGTACTGAAAAAAACTCTTCTGATTGTTATATTCATGGGGACAAAAATGGCATATGGTCTGCACTAAGGCTGTCCTTTGCTTAGGAGACTCAATTTAAAATAATCTATTTAATATTTTAATAGAAACACATTGAAGTCTTTTATAGTACATTTATTTGCTGATGTGTATATTCCGAAGTGTTTATGAACTTCCCCAGTTCTACACTGCTTCATCCTCTGCTTTTTATATTGCAATTTTATACTTCTATATCCTTTTTATATTGTATTATTATATCCTGATCTTTGGCCGTAATAAAGATTTTGGGTTTGGGGTTTTTTTTCCCTCCCAATTCAGTTGAAAAGGAAAAAACAAAACAAAACAAAACAGGGAAATTCTTAAAGCCCCATTTTGGAGCCCACAAAGAAGTGTCTGGTGCAAATGCAAACAGAAAATAGAACATTCTTTCAGTGATTATCACAGCACCATATTCTGAAATCAGACCCATGGAACATTCCCCTTCCATGGGACTGTAAGGAAACCAGACCTTGTTCCTATTTTCCCAAAAAGAAGTGGTGCAGCAGGAGTTCATTTTCAACATCATTGCAAGATCCAGGCAAGTTTGCAGTCCATAGTTATGAATTAAGAAATATATATATATATATATATATAAAACATGCCATTAAAACCTTCCTGATTTGAAAGATTAATGCAATCTTCTATGTATTTTCTACTGCTGGAAAAAAAAACAAAAAAACAAAAAAAAAACAAAGCTGAAAATATGGAGAAAAGAAAAAAAAATGTTTGAAATTACTCTATTTAAATAATCCAGTTGAGATATTTAGTTACAAAAAAAACAAAGCTGAAAATATGGAGAAAAGAAAAAAAAATGTTTGAAATTACTCTATTTAAATAATCCAGTTGAGATATTTAGTTACAAAAAAAACAAAGCTGAAAATATGGAGAAAAGAAAAAAAAATGTTTGAAATTACTCTATTTAAATAATCCAGTTGAGATATTTAGTTAAAGAAAAACAAAGCATGTATTGATACCAACACTAAGAACAGAGTAAATCATTGAGGAACTAACACAATGTCCTTTAGTTAGAACATTTCTAGATTCACGGACCCAGCACCAGGTGCCACTTCATCTATTTCCCAACCCTTTCCCTCCCCATCCTCCTGAAGTCATTGCAGTTTGCGATGAATGCAACATTTCAGAATCGCAGTATAAAATATGGCCATTTATTTTTTTTTAAAAAATCCTTCTTTTCTTCTAATACTTCGATGTGTTTGCAATGCAGGATGAAATCACCTGGGAGAAGGTTTTCTTCCCTGCCTGCTTGCCCACCAGGGCCCTTTCTCCCATCTCTGACCTCTTCCTTGTGGGTGGGACGAGTGGGGTGATCTGGATCACTTGGTCCCTGTATGTATTGTTGTTGTTATCGTCGTCTGTCTTGGCCTCCTCTCTCCTACAGCAGAAATACCAGATGAAGCTGAAGAAGCAAAACTACAGAGAGTAGATGGGGACATGCCTGAAAGAGTGGGGGAAAAGAGACATCACCAATTAATATATATACAGCCAATGGGTGTAATGGTCAGAAGATACAAATTGGAAAGGGAAGATCTAACATTTAATTTCCCCTCCCTGCAGGGAAGGAAATTTAGAACAGACAAAAGAAGATACAAGCATAATTAACGTATTAAATTCATTACAAGAACTGAAGATAGGCACTAACTTGATACATTCATGAAGGACAGGTCTATCGTGGACAATTAGTCTTGAAAACTCAAT